ATCGTTGTCCAATATTTTGTTTTGCAAATTGCGGCGTTTGTGGGGTCGTGTGGCGTAGCGGCAGAGTGCGCGACTCGGAACTAAGAGTCCCGGGTTCGAGTCCTGACATGCCACCGATCTTGTGCCCTTGGGAAAGGCACTTTACACGACTATCCTCACTTAGGTGAAAATGAGTATTGTCCTGTCATGTATTTGTCCCCTGTGTTGGTGGCAGCATTGATATAAGTTGAAGAAACTTGAGTGTGTCGTCACCACGTCTGGTGATTACATGTTGGAATAATAATAAAAAAACTTGCGGCGTATATTTGCTCATTTTGCAGCTGCTTTGTATGATTTACAGTAACCCGATTGTGGCATCGGGTGGTGTAGTGGTTAGATCACTCGACTGTGAACCGGGAGACCCGGGTTCGATCCCGAGTCGTACCCGGGACCTCTTCTCTTCTTCCAGTTGAAGTGACCGCTATCATCAAGTTGATCATTCTGTCACTTTTAGTTGAAGGAGGCGAGAGGTCACCAACCTAAGACTGATGTAGTTTGGAAGCCTTAGACACAAAGGTGTCAACAGATGTGGCTTCCACCGTTGTCTGAGGCAGAGCATTCCATTCTTTGACTGTGCGTGGCAAAAATGAGGCCATACGGTACTGGGTCCTACCACCTGGCTGTACAAACTGTTGGCCGTGCACCCTTCTCTCACGTACTGGGGCAGGCTGTAGTTTACTCCTAAGACCATCTGTGCAGACGATGTTATGCTGTATGCGGTATAGCATGGCAAGTCGGGCTGTCTTTCTTCGGGCCTGAAGACTGGGCCAGTTCAGGTCCTCTAGCATTTCTGTGGGACTTGACGTTTGCCTGTAACGTCTCATCACGAAACGTGCTGCTCTGCGCTGAACTGCCTCTAGCCTATCAATGTCTTGTTGGGAATGAGGGTCCCAGACTGTCGCCGCATATTCAAGTATGGGGCGTACATAGGTCTTGTAGGACATGACTGAACATGCGCCCCGACGTTGTGCCCTTGCCTTGGGAAAGGCATTTTACACGACTTTCCTCACTCCACCCAGGTGTGAATGGGTACCCAACTTCGGTTGGGGAAAGCCGTATTGAGGTCACCTTGTGGCGCCGAATGGCAGCCGCACAGACCCTTGCGGCAGTTCCACAACAATATGGAACGATTATGTATTATGTGTATTATTATTACCATTTTGTATCATCTGATTGTAAACCCTGCATCAATTCAGCACCATAATTTGCGATTACACGGGTGATGTTTGGCCAATAAACCATTTATTACATCATGGTCGAAAACTCACATGCAGTGGAACACCTTGACTTGCCAACTCTTGCCAGCAGACGCGAGCAATTATGTCTCAAGTTTGTTCGTTCCCTTATGATTTTAGACTGGCTGCCACTACACAGGGCCCAGATTTCTAGTAGAGTGACCCGCAACTGTCATAAACTGGACTTTCCCACGACTAGAACAAGAAGATACCAGAACTCTTGTATTCCATATATGATCAATTTGCTCAACCAGCACGGACTTGGCATGAAATCAGCACTGTACTGTAAATATATTGTACCAGTCTGTCTTTTGTAGCTTTGTCTGACATAAAATCTTAACTTGCAGTTGTAAATATCTATAGCCACCTATATTATTCAACTGAGTCTATCTTAATACGTCAATATTTTAGCCACTGCAACTGTTTTTATCTAATTAAGATTTTTAGTATATGTTAATTCGATTTTAATTCAGTGTCATTCACACTGCGAATAGCGAAGAAAGTCATCTTGTATCTTGTAACTTTGTTTTCGGAAATGGACGAAATTCGTGCGCGCTTTGATGTCATCATATGACGTCCGTGCCTCTTAGCTGTTTTATTTTGAATGAAGTGGCTTCCTGGAACCCTTCGGCGACTGAACAGGATCACAAACAGTGATATTTGAACCTTCCGTCCTCTAGCACGAAGATTTCACACCTTACTGTAAACCATAACCATTTTTTTATCATATCTTTTACCCATGTATTAAGTATATTTCCCCACTTCAGATATTTGACTAGTAAAGAGAAATTTGCATTCCTTTTAACTTTTGATAAATCTACTCTAAGTAATCTCACAGCCGCATATATCCATACAATCACTACTAAGCGAGATGAAGCCGAAAAGAATAGAAATTAGACATTTATTTACACTCTTATATGTTCATATGTATGTAATGTATATGTTTATGTTCATGTTCTGTACTTAGTTCTGTAGAACACTAATGTACAATAAAGGTCTTCATTCATTCATATAACCACTCATATCATATGTCAAGCTTGCTCCAATAGTTGTTTTCTCGCTTGCGAGCTATTTTGGGACCGTCGTTGGGCCACAGCAAGTAAACTTTATGGATGACATCCTCCACAGACTACAAATGTAATGCGATAGGGCGAAAGAAAACAAGGCGAACCCCCATGCAAAAAACAAGATTTCAAAATTTCGACATCAATCAAATTTTGACATAGATTTTCAAATTTTTCAATCATTGTGCACAAGGTTTTGATTCAGTGGGAACATCACACATGCACAGCCACAATCACAAATAAAAGGAATTAAATGCTTCACTGCATCAAAGTACAAGACAAAACAGTAAATCAGAGACTTGTCTTTTCTCCTCTCTTCATAGTTATCTGCCATCCACGTACCGGCATGGTAACAGACATCTTTGCCCATTTTCGGCGTGTTGACCACTGTCAGGGGCAACCAAATTTCTTTCTTGTTTTTTTCTCCAAAACCAGGCAAAAAATCATTATGTCATCTATGTAAATTACTTGCTGTGGCCTTACAACAGAACTGGGTTTCATAACAGCTATCTGGCACGTACGCCACGTGCGCGAATTTTACGAAACGTGCATATTTTTCTTGCATAACAAAGAACTGGATATTCCAAGGGTCCGACCTACAATTTGAAGGGGCAATTACTAGTACACTAGAGATCGGCTGATATCATATATACAAACTGTACCATAATTTGGACACCGTAGTGGTATTAATCTATAGTTCGTGCTTTTAAACCAGCTTTTTGAGAATTTGATAGATGAAAGGTACTGGATGCTACCTGACTGAACGTTTCTAAAAGCAAGCCATTTGCATTATTATGATATTACACATTTTTGAGAATTTAATAGTGTCACTGACGAAAGGCAGTGGATGCTACCTGACTGAACGTTTCTAAATGCATATCAATTTGCATTTGGCCACAGCAAGTAAATTTTATGGATGACATCCCCCGAAGAATCCAAATCTAATGCGAGCGGGCGAAAAAAACAAGACGGGCCGAAAAAAAACAAGGTTCCTACATTGTAAAATTTTGACTCAATCATGGTACAAATGATTTTAATTCAGTGGGAACATCACACATACACAGCCATCATCAAATATCATTGCATGAAAGTAAGAAACAAAACGTCTTTTCTTGTCTCCTCTCTTCATAGTTATCTGCCATCCACCTTCCGGCATGGCAACAGACATCTTTGCCCATTTTCGGCATGTTGGCCACTGTCAGAAGGCAACAAATTTTTTTTTTTCAAAATCAGCCGAAAATCAATGCGCGCGCTGATGCCATCCATAAAAATTACTTGCTGTGGCCTTATGATGATATTACACAAGCCCCCCCGAAGAAAGCTACATAGACTGGCTAGACTATACTCTCCAAGCAGAGGTATGGGCTTCAATTTATTTTGTAATGGTGTACTACACACTCAGGAAAAATAACAAACAGAGATGTCAAGCTAAACTATGCATCCCATTGAAGTCAAATTTCTACCTGCTTTGAGGCATTTTTTTATCGGGCTTCCTTTTTTGTACACTAGGTCAAAAGTGGCAAATGGTTACGGTAACACTTCAATCCTACGTACTTTAAAGTATATCCTATTTCTTGATCTTTTCTAAGTTGGTTTTAGATATCTTAGTGGTTGGTACGTCCACCAGTTTATTAGCCACTTTGTACATCATGCATAGCTATATGTATAATCTGGACATTTTACTTCTGTCTTCAACTGACATCCTCTGTAGATTTGCTTTTGAAATTTCCTTGACACCACCACCTCTAAACTAAAAAGAAACATTTTATGTCCGTGTCCTTTTCTACACTCAGACATCTCAAGCTATTTTGGACACCCTCTACCAGCAATGAAAAGAGCAACAGCTGTTAGGCCACACCAAGTAAATTTTATGGATAACGTCCTTTAGAGACCCTAAATCTAATGCGAGAGGGCGAAAAAATAACAAGAAGGGCCCTAAAAAACAAAATGCCTAGATTGGAAATATACTAAGAGTTGGGACACAAATTGAATGAGGTGACACAGTGTAACAAGAAAGAAGTCATCATCAAAACAGCAATAAATCAGGTTGAACAGTGGACAGTGAAAAATTTTCTATAGTGCAAATTTCCTGTTATTGACAGGATGGTCCTGTCAATAGACACTTTCTTCGCGTTACGGGTTTCACATCAATCTGGTGATTTGCGGCACTGCCGTGACTATTTGGTCATAGTTACAGGAAGCGGAATTTCTTTTTTTTCTAGGACCAGGCCAAAATCAATGCGCGCGCGGACGTCATCCATAAAATTTACTTGGTGTGGCCTTATATAAAAGATAAACACTGGGGAGCTAAAATAGGTCTGGTAAACGAGGCTAACATCCGGGGACTGCTCATGCTGCCGCCATTTTGGATTTATTTTCACGCAAGGTTTTTAAAGTTTCGAGTTTTATTTTGTTTTACGTAACAAAAAGTTTCTTTGGTTCGTGTCGTGGATTTTTTAAACTCAGTTTTGTAAAAAAAAAACAACTTCTAAATTTGACCATTTATTACTTTTGCATTCTCAGCCGCACTCACGTGAAAATTACCTACAATTTTGGCAGGTGGGCATTCCGGGGACCGTTCGGTAACTATCAGGTTACGGTGTCTCTCTTTTAAAAAGAATACGGCATCCCTTCTTTTTCGGTAGATTACTGTATCATCCCTCAGTAACAGAAAAAAAATCTAGCCACTGTTCTGGCGAGGCACTATTTCCGGCCAAGTTGCGCAACGTTTTGGGGTGAGTTTTGTAACATATTTTATAAGCATAATACGTAACAAGTTTGTTAACTTTCACACGAGTTAAATTGGATGTTAATGACCACTTATATACCTGCAGAGACGTCTTAGTCTTTTGTGTGGCGTAACATTTTCAACAATCGAGCTAGAAATGAATTGTGTTTCAAATGGGGGGAGGGGGGCTATCTACATGTACACTGCAATTCATATATTTATTATACGTATGCCTAAACCTGTCAACCAACTTCCTATCCTTTTTACTCAGTTATATAAAGTTATGGTAGTGTAGACTTTTCAGATGGTTTTATAATGTTTATACTTTATGCTACTATAATCAATATCATATATGTTCGGTGACATCTGGGCCAATGAATATGCAACAAAACTTTAAACGTCATGTGGTCTATACTAGAAACTCTAATCTGGTAATCTTGAACAAAAAAAATATTATATAGTTCAGAAAATGAATCTGTACAATTTATGAAAGATGTGGAAATGTCAAATTTCCCTTGTGACTTTAAATACAAATCTTTCACTAGTCAGGCGCCATGATGTCAGAGGATAGCCCAGTTATTACCCGGCAGCCTTTGCCGCATCCGGTCGAGGTCAACGTGCAGTACGGAACGCCCGACCGCAACGACAACTTAGAATCCGGATTGCCACAGCCAGACGGAAACGGATTCCAACACTCCAAACCGTTACCGGTCAACGGTTCCGGTCAGCAACCCCCACCGCCGCCGGAGTACAACTTCCAGCAACCTCCATCTGCACCCCCTGCCTACATCCAACCCGCTCCGATTCCGCAAGGTGGCGCTGTTTATGCACCTCCGCCGCAGCAGCAGGCCCCGCCCATCCAGCAAACCACCACCGTGGTGACGCAGCAACCCGGCCTGGCGATTGGTGGGAATCAGAGAGCACGTGACTGGAGGTACGGCCTATGCTGCGGCTGCTGCTGCCCTGCCCCAAACATACCATGTGAGTAGCGAAAGGAGTTTGTGTAACATTCATGCACACTACATGCTTCACGTCAGCTCAAACTTTAAAAGGGGACATACCCTCTATATTTCCTTGAAATTTCATGTGTGTTGGCAAAATCTTATTATGTAAATGTAGAACGTTAAACTGTCACACAACGGGGATAATGAACGTACACATTCCCCCGCTGTTTTGTAACTAGTTATGTATACCTTCGCATATTAAGCTGGTGTGTTACGCCGAAAGGCGGTTATACCGGCTATATATATACACAGATACAGATATTGTTTTTACTCTGTTTCTTCTTTTTCCTCCCAAACAAATGCCTGGGCCAGATGGCTATTACCATGGGAACAGGTGCTGTAGCACACACCATGTAGTGTTGGGTTACATTATGTAGCAAGTGGCAGGACGGAGGGTCACCTTATTTATAAAAGTGCAGTATTATAGTAATTTATTAGACAAGACCAATGACACTACTTCTTCTTCTTTCATTTGAGGCAGCCGCCTTCAACATGCTGAAGATTCTGCTGCCTTTTGTGGCTAGTACGAGATGGGGTTCGCCAGGCCTCCATCCGGGTGATTTGTAGTGAATCACCAACTCCCAGACAGTAGAATTTTGTACCATCGCACACCGGGGCATGCCCCTACTCTTTTTCGAAAGGTGTGGTGGGTTCTTTTACGTGCGCGGGGTATGGCTCTCCCCAAACACGGGACCTCCATTTAACGTCCTATCCGAGGGACGGCCCTAACCGAGGCTAGGTACTCATTTACACCTGAGTGAAGTGAGGAAAGTCGTGTAAAGTGCCTTTCCCAAGGGCACAAGATCGGTGACATGGGTGGGGATCGAACCCATGGCCTCTAGGTCCTGAGCCGAAAGCGCTACCGCTGCGCCACACGACCCCACTATATAATGTCTTTGGCTAGACCACGTGACGGTAAAGATTGTGCGTATGCATTTGCATTGCAAATGTTATCTTACTAGTATTACAGTTTAATCTTGTAACACAAGTCGTGTAGTGCCAAATAGACGTAATTCCAAGTTCCGCGGCCATTTTGAAAAGTGGTCTCGCGAGAGTACAGCGCTACGCGAACGCACGTCATCTTGCACGAAAACGAGGCTCGTCGTGATTGGTCTGACAATCAATCTCTCAGCTTCCATAATGGCTTCCAGTTTAGGACCAAGCGGTGACACACCTTCCTCAATAAATGACGCTCTTCCGTGGTAAATGGTTGAAATATTAATTTTATATTGACTGTGCCCCCCTCCCCCCTGTAGGTTGGTGCTCGTGCTTGTGCTACCCGTGCTACATGTGTTACCTGGTGCAGGCCATGCACGAGACACCCTGGATCCTGACCCTGTTCTGTAAGGGTCCGCTGTGGTTCCCTCTCACCTCCACCTTACTGCGAGTCAAGCTCCGGGCAGAACAAAACATTGTCGTGAGTATTATGTAAGCCTTATGTAGTAGTAGTAGTAGTAGTAGTAGTAGTAGTAGTAGTAGACTGGTAATTATTAGGTCTTAGCTCAAGACATGCAAGCCTCCATGCATGCCGTGGAGGGCTGAATTGTAAGAGGTATCAGTCTAATAAAAGATTATACATTTACAGTTATAATCACTACAATACAATGTTAAAATTTGCTTGTTCAACATTAAAAAATTCGAAGAACAATTACACTCGAAGGTATCTGTCTGACTGTCTGACATCAATTGTAAGTTACAAAAGTTGACCAACAAAATGTCGGCCACACCCTGACGTGTCGCCACTCTTGATTTGCTATTTGCAAGCAGATATCAGTTCATTTCTGCCCCCTAGCGTCCTTCTTTAAAACTACATGCAGAAACATTTTACACAAATTAGGCCATGTTGATTTGATTATATGGATGACATCGTCTGGGAACCCAAAAACTGATGCGCGCGTGCGAATAAAAAAAAAGTTTGGCAAAAAAAAAAAGTTGTTTTTTTCTGAAATCTACATGGTTATGAAGGCTGAACAAATGACACAGAGTATGGTATGGCGAATAAATCTACTCTTCAAATTCATATCTTTACATTTTTGTCTTTTTTCTTTAGCATTTTAGCATACACGTGCATTGATATTGTTTTCCAACATTTTTGGTGCAACTTACGGTATATATTTGCTAATTTTGCACCTGTTTTGTACGATTTACAGTATGGTTGAAAACTTTTTTTTTTTTTGGAAACGGCCGAAATTCATGCGCGCGCGGATGTCATCCATATAATCAAATCAACATGGCCTTACTTACACAAAATTTTTGTGATTCTCGTCCCCAGGGCTCCATCTTACAAATTTTTGTGATTCTCGTTCCCAGGGCTCCATCTGCCATGACTGCTGCTGTTCGACCTTCTGCCCGTGTATGACCTTGACCCAGCTGGCCCGCGAGTTGAGAGACATGCGGTCGATTGAGAGAAAGTTTGCCGGCATGCCCATGCAGCAGATGGGCGGGGGTGGTGTTACCATGGTTACCACTCACTGACGTCACATGGCAACAAGCTATGACGTCACACGGACCTGGACAACGCATGTTACTAGTACTTCGAAAAAGAGCACATTACTGACAATAGAATGTATGTTTTGAAATTCTACACCTAAATTTATTAATTTTTCTACATCAAGATATAAGATCTCTATCATTAGATATTTAGAATTCAAACAACAAATAATGACATATAACTTTATATTATATCTATGCAGCTCAATCTGCCGGTAATAAAGATATATTTTGCAGTATTAAAGTGTGCTGGGTGTATAATTTCGTTGTGTTCTGTAAAGAATATATTTTTAGTCCTTCCCTCTCTCCATATATTTATTATGTTTTTATCCCCCTAGTACATAGCTATCAATTATTTCCCCTTTTGTCACGCATAAATTTGCCCCTTTTTTAATATCCTCTTTCAACCTGAATCTATCAGTTTCCAACTTATTGTACTTCCCTATCACCCTAGTAAACTGATAGCTGCATACACACATATCGTTGTCGGCGCCATTTTGTAAACAACAACCATGAGAATCCCACCACCTGACACCATGTTTAACTACAGTATCCTGGCTTCCCATTGGTCGAGAGATATCATTATCCAACCGAAACATTATGCAAATACCGGCATATGTGAGGCAATATAATCACATTATAAAGAGTTAGTGGGGTATGTCGAAGATGGCGTTACGTGGGGCAGCCTTTCTTGCAGTTTTTCTCAACATTGTGGTTGTTCAGACGGAGGAACCTAGTGCCAGCCGTGCGTTGGAAGGGTATGCAATTACTAGTTATTTGTAATTATATTAGGATCACAGATTGTGCCAGTTAATCTATAGCAAGGAGACAACATGTATTACAGCCAGAACTTTATGACTTTGCCACATGTTTTACAATATGTTTTTTTTTCACGAGTTTCGTCCCGCTTGAAAATAATTCCTCCAATTTACGATTCTTATTAGTTACTTTTAACAAACTGTTACAGCATTTAATTTAACATTGCAAAATCATCACATTTTCAACTCAAATTTTTCATAGTTCCTGATGCAATGGATGACCTTGAACTAAACAAAATTGTTCACATTCTCTCGCAAGTGACCAAGTTCTGAGGCTACATCCGGGAACTCCAGATGCTGTCGCCGTATTGGACAGCCTCGTGTACACGCCAGAATTCCAAGTAAGAGTTTTGTTTAGTTTATCAGACATCATTTTAAGAATTTGTGCAGAAATGTACAAAACATGTTCAATCAAACGATTCCCAGTCAATCATAAAATTATATGACTTAAAAATAGACGGTGTGGGCACGTGTGTGTGTGTATGTGAGTGTGTGTATGTGAGTTTGTGTGTGTGTGTGTGTGTGTGTGCATGCGTTTGTGTGTGACTGTGTGAGTGTATGTGTGTGTGTGTGTGTGTGTGTGTGTGTGTGTGTATATGTGTGTGTGTGTGTGTGTGTGCTGTATGTGTGTGTGTGTGTGTGTGTGCATGTGTGTGTGTGTGACTGTGTGTGTATATGTGTGTGTGTGTGTGTGTGTGTGTGACTGTGTGTGTGTATGTGTGTGTGTGTGTGTGTGACTGTGTGTGTATATGTGTGTGTGTGTGACTGTGTGAGTGTATGTGTGTGTGCTTGTGTGTGTGTGTGTGTGTGACTGTGAGTGTATGTGTGTGTGTGTGTGTGTGTGCGTGACTGTGTGTGTGTGTGTGTGTGTGTGTGTGTGTGTGTGTGTGTGTGTGTGTGTGTGTGTGTGTGTGTGTGTGTGTGTGTGTGTGTGTGTGTGTGACTGTGTGTGTATATGTGTGTGTTTGTGTGTGTGACTGTGTGAGTGTATGCGTGTGTGCTTGTTTGTGTGTGTGTGTGACTGTGTGTGTATATGTGTTTGTGTGTGTTCAAACACCTACTTTTACATATTAGGGTCTAGGGACGAGCATGCTCACGAATGGATATTAAATGGGGTGAAGTCTGCCATCTCCGCTGATCGCATGTCTTACCTCATCCTCCAGTTGGACTTCTGGAAACAACCTTCTCACGGCAACCAAAGCGTCGACGTCCATGTGCCCAGGGACGACCTTCCTGCTATTCTAGACCTTCTCCAGCGGCATAGCATTTCTTACCACACCATGGTAGACAACGTCCGTCAGGCGGTGGAGAAACACATGGAGGACAACCACAGGGCAAGGGCGCGAACTGCTGGGCAGCCGGCCAGGGTCGACAACTTCGACTTCAGCGTCTATCACGAGTGGAACGAGGTAATTTCTGATTGGACGTTTTTTTATGTTTACCTTGAAAGTTCGCAGAAGGAAGCATATTGTTTTTGCTCAGTTTCTTCTTCTTCCGTTTCAAACAAATAAAGTCAATGACTTGGACTAGACGTGTGTCACCATGGTGATTTTTACTGTGGCAGACACCCTGTGGTGTTGGGTTACATTATGTAGCAGGGCAGAGTTGGACTGGCTGCTCACCATACATATGACTGTACAAATGTATTCGACTTTGAATGAATGAATGAATGAATGAATGACTGTTTATTATCGTGCCATTGCGATCAATATGCCGCCCAGCCCATATGGGCTTATAAGGCACCGACAAAATACAAAATCAAAACAAATCAAAAGGTACAGAGAATCAGATGTAACATAAATTATAACTTAACATAATATATAATAAATACAGGAAATTAAGTAGTACTGGTCATATACAGAAATCAAATCAAATGTAACATAGATTATAAATAATAATAATTTAGGTTCAACCAAAATGATAATGGATAAAAGTAACAAGAGGTAACTGTCACATAACTGTTACATACAGAGAACCAACTTAACAGAAAATGAACAGGTAAACGTAGCAAGGAGGGAGGCGAACCAAACTGAAAATGACAGTAAAACAAAATAAGATCAGCCTGTTATGAATAAATGTGAAGTTTACGTTTTTTCCAGGCCTGCTGTAAGTATGTCGCCGTTTCAAACACTCCCTCTGTAAATAACCACTTCAGTTTTGGTTCATCCCTATCCCAGATAAGATCAGGTCGCCTCTTGTACATCTTATCAAAGAGTGCCTGACGTAAGTTGTCATAAAACGGACAGTAAAACATAAAGTGGGCCTACATTTTCTACTTCATGTAAATCACACAGCAGACATAGTCTGTCCTTTTCTGGAATGCCCCGATATCTTCCCGATGATGATGATGATGGAAACATTAATGCATTCCGATATAAGAAACGGTATCGCCCTGGTAAACCATTATGGAATGGTGAACTAGATAAGTTATGGGCTGAAATGAGGGCGGCAAAACGTCAGTTTACAAGAAGTCAGGGTAACAAGCGATGTAGGGAAGAGCTTAGGAAAAATTTTAGGGACAAACAATATGCTTTTGACAAGAAGCTTCGTTTTTATAAACGTAGACACCAGAGGGGGCAAGTGCTTGAATTTGAGGGGCTTCGGACCAGTAACCCACAGCGATTTTGGAATGAACTGAATAAACTAGGACCTAGGCGAAGTACAAAAATCCCTATGGAAGTGATAGACCATGATGGTGATCTGACTCATGATGTAAACAGGGTTCTTGAAAAATGGGAAAGGGATTTTGCTGACCAGGAAACAATACAGAAGCTGAATTTGATGAAGAATTTTATCAGGAAATTACACTGAAAAATCAACTTGAAAAGGATATGAGGAATGCATCATACCCCACCAATGCATTTTTAAACTCCCCGATTACTTTGACTGAAGTTGAAGAAGCCCTTATATCTCCTAAGACAGGGAAAGCAAGGGGGGTGGATGATATCTCTAATGAAATGTTGAAAACACCAAATCTGTTGCATGTTATATACCCTTGTGCACAAATGTTTTGATAGTGGTCTTATACCATCTGTCTGGTACAAATCTATAATTAAACCCATCCCAAAATCATCAAAAAAAGACCCTAAAGTCCCCCTGAACTACAGAGGAATAAGTTTGATGAGCACAGTATACAAACTTTACACAACCGTCCTCAACAACAGACTAAATCACTACCTGGAGTCTTTAAATCTAATAGAAGACGAACAGAACGGCTTCCGCAAAGCGACAGCCTGTATTGATCATATATATACTATTTCTACTGTTGTAAGGGCAAGAATTCAAGAGGGTAAATCAACTTTTACTTGTTATATTGACTTTCAGAAAGCGTTTGATTGCATAGACAGGGATCTTTTGGCATACAGATTGATTGATTGTGGTGTTGATGGTAGATTTTACGAAGCTTTAATGACCTTGTACAAATCACCTGTGGCATGTGTACAACTTAACGAACACACCACACAATGGTTCCCCACTCCATGTGGAGTTAAACAGGGAGATGTATTGTCACCTACATTATTTGCATTATATGTTAATGATCTTGCAAAATTGGTAAAGCAATCTGATCTCGGAGTTAAACTAGATGATATAACATTGAGTATTCTACTGTATGCAGATGACATTGTTCTCATAGCTGAGACTGAGGCTTAACTACAGAAAATGTTGGACATTGTATCTAAGTGGTGCTCAGAATGGAGACTGATGATCAACCATGCAAAAACACAAATTATGCATTTTAGAAAACACGGTATTAAACGAAGCACTTATGAATTTATGTTCGGAAAAATTAAACTGGAGTATACAAGCTCCTATATATCTGGGTCTCCATTTAGATGAGCACCTGACGTTTACCCCCGGTACCACCATACTTGCAGATGCAGCGGGAAGGGCTTTAGGAGGTGTACTAGGCAAAGTTAAGGTCTTAAAGGACCTAGGATTCCAAACTTATTCTGCACTTTATGATGCATGTATGTGCCCTATATTAGATTATGCTGCAGGTGTGTGGGGTTTTAAAAAGTATGACAAAAGTATTGTTATTCAAAATAGAGCCATCCGGTGCTTCCTTGGTGTACACCGTTTTGCATCCACCTCTGCTATAAAGGGTGACATGGGTTGGATGCCGTGTGAGGTTAGGTGGAAGGGAGCTATGGTGTCACTCTAGAACAGACTAATGAATATGCATGAAGACAGGATCACTAAGAAAGTTTTCAGATGGGACCTACGTAACAAAGGCCCCTGGAGTACAGATTTATATGAAATATTTTGTGATTCTGAACATGAACATGTCTTCTCAAATAGGCTCAGAGGTAATACTAGACTCATCAAGGATGTGCTGTTCTCTCAATATGAAGAAAACTGGGCCTCTGAATTATGGTCTAAACCAAAACTGAGAACTTACGTGCTAATCAAAGACACATTCTCTCCAGAAAAATACGTTACTTTACCCCTTACAAGATCACAAAGATCTCTTTGTGCCCAGTTTAGATCTGGAATATTTTGACATACTTTGAGTAAGAATAAACAGTGCAGTAAGTTGTTGGGCTAGACCAGGTGAAGGTAAACATTATGCATTTGCAAATGTTGCCTTTCTAGATTTCGGTATGTATGTTTGTCTGTGTATCCGTAGTTACTTGAATACAGTGGATTAACAGGAGATGAATGGAATGGTATAACCACAGACTGACAAGAAGGTCAAATTGGACCGTTAGAATGGTCTCTCCGCAAGCTGGACATGAATGATACATATGTTACCAAAAACGAAATCCACGTAGTACTGATATGTAGCTAGAAGCTGAGAAGGCAGAAGCTCCAGTTTATGTAAATGACTTTTCCATAATGAAACAAATGAATCATGCAACATATCATTCATTCATTCATTCATTCATTTATTTATTTATTTATTTATTTATTTATTCATTCATTTATTTATTTATTTATTTTGCCACTTTCTTTGACAGATTGACGATTTTATAACGGATGTGGAGCAGACATATCCACAAATCGCGTCTCTGTTCAGCGCAGCAACTACATTTGAAGGACGACAAATAAAAACTCTCAAGGTAGGTTGAAACCTTATGAATCTTTGCCATAAGACACAGCAAGCAAAATGCGCTATAAGGACAAATATAAATACATTATTACATGGTTTAAAAGTCCACACATCATTAATTTTATGTACATTATTTTGTTAAAATTTCGAAAAATGCATTTTTTGGTCGTTGACAACCCAGTGCATGTTCAATTTCATTTAACTTGTTAGTTGGGGAGGGGGCGGGTAAATACAAAGGGGATATTTTTAAACCTCAATCTTGCTATATCTTGTGGTCAAACCTACCATTTTGTATTATAAAATGGTTTAAAGTCCACATACAGTGAATTGGCAATACATTAATTTAGTAAAATTTTGAAAAATGAATTTTGATCGTTGACATCCCAATGCATTTTTTTAATTCAAGTATTAACGGGTGAATATGCAAATGGCATATTTTTGAACCTCGGTCGTGCTATATTTTGTGTTGGAACCTAGCTTGGAAAGCCGTCCACTTCCGGTGAGACCAAACCTGCGATCTGGATCGACGCCGCGATCCACTGTCGGGAGTGGATCTCACCCGCCACGGTCCTGTACGCCATAGACAAGGTCAGCTGATCCGGATCAAATCTTAACAAAGGCCTTGTTCATATGAAACCACCCGAACCGCAATTCCGGTAACTCGCATTCCTCACATCTGGTCCACGTGCCATACATTCCTTTCAAACCGTGTCCGATCACGATTCTCCGAAACTGCATTCATTGTTGTTTGAAGTAGTAGTAGCAGTAGTAGTAGTACTAGTAGTAGGCGCTTTCAATGTGATTTGGAGCGTTCAGATGGGGCCACTTGAAACCGGCTTCGGGGGAAACCACATGTAAAGCGCCTTCACTGACTTCTTATGAACAGGGCCAAAAACACAAAAAATTAACAAGGCCACGGCAAAAATACATAGATTTGATCCGAACATTTGCCTCTATTGCTTCTCGGTACGGAAGTATTGTTTTGGGTGGCTGAGTTCTGCGTAAATGTTTCGGTCACATATTGGGTGGGTGGGGAATGATTTTCACAGATATTGATAGGTCAAGTATGAAGGTAAGGGGGTGGTATATGGAGGAATTCATGAAATCTATCCGAGTATATCCGATCAGATGGCGAAATGGCGAAACCTAAGAGACGTCCAAAAAATCCTACTGGAGGTCGAAAATCTCTGAGTTATCATTTTTTCACTTTTTCTGTTACAAAAACACACCTGCTCGCTTTTAATCGTACAAGAAAATAACGGAAATCTTGGCATTTTTGTCCTGCCAGTTTACCCGTCTGTACGGCTCCGACCCGACTGTCACACGACTGCTGGACGAACTCGACTGGTACTTCACTCCTGTCTTCAACATAGACGGCTACATCTACACCTGGGCGGCACCCGAGGTAGGTCAAACTTTATGTTTCTCATCTAAGACATTGGGATTTTTCTTGTACGCACTTAGTAATGTCTCTACGTTTTAATGTCTATCAGACACCTTCCTCAGAGCTTCTGACGGGGGTACTGCCTCGTGCCACAATACATAGTTGATTTAGGTGGTGCTTTTGTGGCAAGAACACAATTCCTAACGGTGCGAAGTTTGTATCCCCCCTCGTCCTGGTCGATCAATTTCAATATCCTAGTATGTTCTAACACCACGATGAAATTATTTTCGGTACCTGTTTCTCTTCTTCTCGTATGGGTTACATTATGATATTTTGTATTTCATTATTTCTTGTCACTATATTAAATACTCCTCTCTTTTCCAAGAACCGACTATGGCGGAAGAATCGATCCACCCAGCCGGGACCATGTGTCGGGGTGGACCTGAATAGAAACTGGGACGACCACTTTGCTGGTGGGTTAACGTTACTTTATACCCCAAACCCTTGAAAAGGCTTATAGAAGGAAACGCAATACATTTGCTTTCATGTCAACGCGTACTAAGATTATGTTTTACCTACTTGAAAACAGAGGTATTGTTTTGAGTGTGTTTATCTGTGTGTGTGTGTGTGTAGTAGTAGTAGTATAGGATATGCAGGACTTGTGGCAGGACTTGCTTATCAAGAATCGGCCTATTCAGCCACCAGAGGTCATGCCGGCGTGAAGAGCCTTCCTAATCTTCGCACGCGAGGACAAGCCATGATGATGATGATATGTGTGTGTGTGTGTGTGTGTGTGTGTGTGTGTGTGTGTGTGTGTGTGTGCGTGTGCGCGCGCGCGTGCGTTCGCTTGCCTGTCCGTACAGCGCGTGGCTGGAGAGATTCCTTAACACAGTCCACAAAAGGTCAGACACAGGAAGTACGGTCCCAGAAGCTGGCTCGAAGCCAGCAGGAAGGCCACCCAGGGGTCTTCTGGCCGGATGGCAGTAGGAAAATGCATACAGAGACAATAATGTGTCAAGCAATAAATTCACAAAAACTCTAGGTCACGGAGGTATGAAATCTTTTATATGTTATCTGTATCTTTTATGCACATATAGAAACGGGCGCTAGTCCGGACCCATGTTCGAACATCTACCACGGCACGGCGCCTTTCTCTGAACCGGAAACACAAGGCATTTCCGACTTTGTCCTGAACCACCCGGAAATCAAGGTGTACCTGGCCATGCACTCCTACAGCCAACTGTGGATCAGCCCCTGGGGGTACGACTACGCACGGCCGCCTCACTACCACCTACAGGTACGCCCGTGATTGGTTGAATGTGCACGTGACGTCACAACTTGTAGCTATCACTTGGCGCCGCCATGTTGGTGGTAGGGAGAGATCCAAGATGGCGACAGGTTGTTGTATTAATGGTGAATTAATGGTCTGTTCCACTACAACCTGCTAGAACATCCGTGATTGGACGTGTTTGCGTGACACGTAGACACCCTTTTCGCCACCATGTTGGTGGGTTAGATTAGATGGATCCAAGATGGCGACCGGTCACTACATGGATAGATAGATAGATAGATAGATAGATAGATGGATGGATGGATGGATAGATGGATGGATGGATGGGTGGGTGGGTGG